AAATTAAAATTATTATTTTTAATAAGATACTTCTTATGGTCCTATTTGTAAATCACTTTCAATATATTTTAATAGAACCAAGTAAAATATTAAACATCATCAACTCTATCTTAAAATTTAATAATTTTTCACCTTTACCCTTAATAAGAATAAAAAGAATTATTTTTAATAATTTTTCTAGCATTTAATATGGGCATAAAGGCAAAAATGAACTTAAAAAATAACTAATTGCATATAAATAGGATTAAAATTAATCTTCTCTTTCTACCCTATAAATAAAACTAGATGAGTAATTGATTGATGAAATGAAATTGTTAATTTTAATATTTAATGATGAAATATCATATACTCTTATGACGAGTTCACTTCAATTTTTTTTCTGGCCAAAATAGTTCACTTCAATTTGGTCACTTGAACATGTAGGGTCTATTTGTACTAGATTAAAAAAATGAGTTATTGCTAGATAACTTTGAGATTTTATAAAAGATGTTTATTTTATAGAGATTTGATAAAAAGCATCGGTTGCAATAATAAAAATAATAATTATATTTACTTAGTTATTTTTAAATTTTATAATATTTTCATAAATTTCTATTTGTAAAAATAATTTCTTAGTTTTTAAATTTTTATGATACAATCATAAATCTTCGCATTGTTTTAACACATGGCCACGGTCCATGAAAAACCTCAAGTCATATGAGAGTACATAACATGTTTACCCTTAGGTCAATAAAAAAAAAACTATCTTTTTACCCTTAGCGAGTAGCTCAAAAAGCATTTAGTCAGGATCATTGCTAGATACCTAAATGGTACATAAATCATTATATTAATTTCATTCTTATAAAATATCTACAAAATTTGGTCAAACAAAATAAAATATATATAAAATAAATCTCTTTTTATTAAAATCTCTAAATTATTTAAAAAATAACTTGTTTTTAATCTCATTTCAAAGATGAACATGAAAATAATAGATCTTGGTTACCAAGTTTTGAGCCAAAAAAAAAAAAACAGGGCAATTCAGCAAATGGGAAAAAAATCAAAATAAAAGGAAAATAAAAGAAAACTTAGAGCATCCATGGCTAGCTAGCTGCTATCGAAGAAAAAAAATAGAAATTACAAGAGATGATGAGCAACAAATACGAAGATTAGACACTAGAGATTGAACAAGAAATGTAATATCCTGAATTCTTCATCCTAAGTTTAGAGGTTAATCAAGGATGAAGAGGAAATTAAAGTGGGATTAGAGATTCGAATGATTAATTAGTATTTTAACTTGTTTTGTGTTGTATGAATAGATATAAGTGATAGGAATGCGTTTTGTGTTGAACCAAGTGCGCGTGGTGAAAATAAATTTTACTGTGCCATACGCCACAGCACATGGACCAGAAATTCACTTTATAAATTGTGAAATTTTAAAAATTTTAAATGAAAGAATTTGAGAAACACACAAAACAGAGAGAGGAGAAGAGCTGAGGAGCTAGGTTAAGTCATTTTGGAGCGGTGGAAGTGATTCGAATCAGTAACTTGCCAAGTAAGCTACGTATAAGCAGTATAACTCTTACCTTCCACTCTACACAAATTTTTTTAAAAATAAGTTATAGGAAAATTAAATCTGTGGCATTTGAGGAGTTTGATTATTGCCCAATAGTAATAAAAAGATTCTTGAAAATTAAATTAGAGTTTTGTGATTGATTTAGAGCTGAACGATAGAGCTTTAAAACCATAGGCTCAATTTTGGCCTTTAGAGAGAGAAAATTAGGGCAAAATTATTTTGAGTAAAATATGACCAATCGAGATAATATAGAGTAGTAATTGGGTAGTTATGGATTTAAAATGGATAAATGAAAAAGAATATATGGATGAATATAGCCCTAAATAGTAAAAATAAGTTTTTGGTCAAAATGAACTAAGTGACTAAAATGTGCAAATATGTTCAGATTGACATAGTAGACGCGTGAGTAGAGAAAGGAAGCTTGTGATAAGCTTGTGGGATAGCGAAAATCTACGGGTAACCTTTCTAATGATAGAAGGGTTGAGATAACCGAATAATTTTCTTTACTTGATTGTTTATTGTAACTGTATGCTATGTAATATATGAAATGATTTCAAATTGAGCATGTTTTATAGTATTGAGTGATTGTTGTGTGTGAAACGGCTTTTGATTGAAATAAGTATGGAAATGTATTTTGTAATGAAATATATTATATTTTATGTATGAGAAAGTGTTAAATGGTAAAAAGGGAACCTTAAAATGGTTTGAGAAAGTATGATCTGAGAAGCGAGAGTCTACTCGAGTGTAGGAGATGATAAAAACTATATGGTAAGGTTTCCTTAATACCCTGTAAGGGTGCGGTGTTGGAAACAATTTTCCTTAATGCCTTAAAAGGTGTGATATTGGAGAAGATCTTTTTAATGCCTATTAAGGTATAGTGTTAGAGATGAGAGACTCCTTAGTGTCCTTGTGATATGGGTTGGAATCAACGACACCCCATTGTGTGTATTGGGGAAAAATCATAATTTGTATTATGCGTTAGAACATCTTTGACCGGGTAATTCTACTACTGCAGGTGAGCTCAAAACTAATGAAAGTGTATATTAGTCTGAAATGAGCCTATGGTTTCGTGTCAGGGTTATTTGGAGGCTTGGTTGGTAGAGATCATGCTAGTATTTTATGCAATGTGATGAAAACTTGAAAATGAAATGAGATATGTGATGTGAATACTACTTTATGAGATTTTAATGATATACTATACTTACTTTCATATTGTTGCATGTGATAATCAATAGGAATGAGTTATTCTGTTACTGAAATTTTTATCTCACCCCCGTGGTTACATGTTTACAGGACCGAGAAGTGATCAGGCTAAGGGAAGAAAGTCTAGACCGGCTTTAGTTGTGAAGCCATGTACTCTAAGGTTGTGTAATGAACTAAACTAAAAGATTGTATATATACACACAAGTGTGTATGAGTTGTCATAGGTTGCATGCATGTATTAAACTGAGTTTTTGTGAAATCAAGTGTGTGTTGTGTGAGACAAAAAGGCTTTGATTTGAATATATTTGAGTTGAAATGATTGTATGTGTTGGTGATCTTAAACGAAAGGATAAATTATGATGAAATGAGTAATTTAGTGGCTAAGATTGTATTGTGAATATGATTACATTTGTATGAGTTGAGAAATAGCCAAGTAAGCTAAGTTATGCCGAGAAATGGCATAGTATGTCAAATTAGTAAATTGTAAAGATTGATCATAGAAGAGTCAAATTTTGATATATGAGTATGATTATGATTAATTGTGATCAATCAGGTATATTAAATCCTTTTCGACTTAGTTTGAAACTTAGTATGGTTTAATGAGAGTAAGGAATCGATTTGAGTGATTGGATGCGCAAAATTTTTAAAAAAAGTAACTTTTTACACCCAGATGTCTAAATTTTGATCGGACCGTTAGATCATGTCCAAATGTCTCATTAGTTAGTATACGAGCTAAGCTTCGTGTGGACACTTGAATCACTCCGATCGAATGTCGTATAAAAAATTGGCGCATGTCAGAAGTTTATCATTTTTGTTGTCAAAATGATAGCAGAAACTTGCACAGGCGCACTGTGGCGCGTGGTGACACATGCCACGGCGCACGACACAGATAGGGTGAGCGTGTGGCTCTATGCCACATGCTGCGGTGCACTGACTATCCGCCACAGCACATGAACCAAAACCTTAGTTCTATTTGTGTGCTAAATTGCATGCAATTGAGATAGGAATACTAATGGGTTATGTCCACTATGCAATTGAGATATGTATGATTTACTTTCGCTTTGTTTTTCTCTAATTGTGTTGTGAACTAATCAATTTTATAAAATAAGTTTTTGGCCAAAGTTTTTGAAATAAAATTTGATTATTATGAATGATGTGAGAATGGTAATAGTGTAATCTTTTTCTATCTTAAGTAAATATAGAAGGAGATTACAAAAAACAGTTATTTTCAAAGTGAAAGCCCAATTAATGAGATGTATTTCAACGTGCCTTATTTTATATCGCATTACTCATTTCCTCCCCTCCTCCCCTCAAATGGGAAAAAGATCAAAATAAAAGGAAAATTAAAAAAAACTTAGAGCATCCATTCCAAGCTAGCTGCTATTGAAGAAAAAAATAAAAATTACAAGAAATGATGAGCAACAAATACGAAGACTAAATACTAGAGATTGATCGAGAAATAGTTATTTCCAAAGTGAAAGCCTAATTAATGAGGCATATTTCAACGTGCCTTGTTTTATATTGCATTGCTCATTCCCCCCCCCCCCCCCAAATATTTCAATACTTTACATCTCTTAATTCAAATATTTTTCACTCCTTAGTTCAATTTTTAAAAAATTTAGGTCTCAGAAAATTTATGTTCTCTTAAAATTAATAATAATATTACCAATTGCCACATTTATAAAAAAATCTTTTCAATTATGAAACTTATAAAAAATTAGTTGCGGAGTTGTTTGAAAAATTCAGTGATAAATACTTGCCTAATGACTTATATTAAAAAAAAAATATCTTCCTTCCCATCAACAATAAAATAATTGTTTAACAATTTCATAACATGAAGTCAAGTAGGATACAATATTTTTTTTAAAATTATTAAATTATTTTAAATTATTAATTTCTAAAATGCTACACTCCACGGCCCAATGTGCTGGCACGTTGTTATATGTTTTGTTCTTCCTCATTCTAGATGTGATTTCAATTCTGTCTTCCTAGTTTGACATAATAGGTAGTAACTTGTATACTTTGTAAAATGTCTGGCATATAAAGTATTTTTTTAAAGAAAGAAATGTACATCTATCTTATTTTCCTTTTAGATGCATGCCTCACCTTTTTGTTTAGAAAACATTTTTGCCCGTATAACAAACATAGCTTCAATGTATAACGAAAAAAATCGTTAGCTTGCTTTCTGTTTCTTTTTTCCCCCTTGCAACCAAAAACAATGTATATTGCTAAAATCAGTAAGTTGAGAAATTAAACGGCAAACTTTTGATTGATAAGGCACTGGGCTAATGCTCAACTGATTGCTAAGTTCTCTCGAATGGAAATTGAAAAAATGAAAAATGAAAATGAAATAAAAATCTTTCAATTGGTCACGAGACAAATAACAATAGGTCCTAGATTGGCTGACGAGCAAAGAGCATGAACTGAAGGGAAGACCTAGTCAAATAAGCCGAACCCCATGTCATCATCGCTCTCTTCCTTTGCTTCTTCCCGCAGATACAGTTTCAGAATCACTTTTTCAGACACAATGCAAATCAATCTTGTACGGACAAGCAACTAAACAAATGAGCTGTTTGATTAATGGGATGAAATTAAAAAAAAAAAAGAAAGAAAGAAAGAACAAAAAATGAACTAAATTATCCAATCCATTATGATATAAAACTCAATATTGCATACCAAATGTAGAAATCATGGCATCCACCACAAATATCAGAAATCATGGCCATCAATTTCATAAACTAAATTATTCTTCTCCCTTTATAAACATGGTTAACTTATATTTTCTCCATATCTTGATTGATTATCATACTTTTATCTTTTTTTTTTTTAATTCATTACATTTCATTCTTTTTAACAAGCAAACAGGCCCTAAAGTCCATCATGTAGACCAACAGGGAGCATTGCAAGCTACGGTCGCTGAAAAAGAAGGGGCAATCATCTGTTACAGGAAACAAGGAAATCAGGAAACACAAGCTCCTAAGTAACACAACAACCTCAGTGAGGAGTGCGAATAATTAACGAGAAAGGGGTTCAAATATCTGATTAACATGATTACAGGGTAAAAATACATCAATATACTCAATACCGCAAGCTATGGCATTTTACTGGCAAACTGGTGATGTAAGCATTTCCATAATCATACTTGATGGTAGGGTAGGACTACCCTGTGAACATATTAGATTTTCAGCTTCTTTATGGACGTGATCCCTGGGTAGTCATGTCTCCTGTCTTTTGACTCCATGGTTGAATTAGCCATGTATTAACCTCTGCTAGTATCAGAATCATCCATTGGAAGGGCATGATTCTCAATTTAAAAGGTACTGAACTAAAGAAGACAAAGCTACCCAGGGTAATGCTGAACCTTACTTCAGTCCTTGGGGATTTTCTTCCCCTCTTCTATCTCAGATAGAGAGAGACACTTTATTTAGGCCCTATTAGTAGAAAAATCATGTTTCTATTTTAATTTCTTCATTCATCAAATAAGCATGGCAGATGATAAACAAAGATCAAGAACGCAGGTGTTTCAATGGATTTGATTGCACAGAGTCCTCTACATGTAAATAGAGTGCCCACAATCATGCACAATAAATAGTCTCCCATGCATTAATTTAGTCGTATGCCATCTATAAATACGCATAATATTCCGCCGGGGGGGATTATCTTAAATTTGTAAATTTTGAAATTACAAATGTCTTTGGTTTGAATTTTCAAACAAAAATATTACCTTCTTCTCCTCGGCGGTGGGGGCTGCAGCGGCATCACCTCCAGCGGCGGCACCGGCAGCAGAAGCAGTGACAGCTACAGCAGAAGAGCCGCCTGAACCAGCATTCAAAATGAGATCCTCAACGTTCTTCTTCTCCGCGAGTGTCGCAAATAGGCTCGGCCAGTACGATTCCACGGACACATTCGCCGCCTTAACTAAATTATTAATTATTAATCTTCTCCGCCTGCCCGTCGTTACACAGAGAAGAATTCAAATGGAACGATAATTAACTTTGAAGTTCATAGACTATGGACTGGCTTGGCTCTAAAGAGGACCTCCGCCTACATCACTTTTAAGAGAATGTGGATTAAATCATGAAATTTCAAGAAGATATAGCCTTACAGTAATTGCTATTCCATTATCATGGAGAATCGGGGACGCGTGTGTGCAAGCCAACTCGCCGGCAGCCATGGCCGCACCTTCGAAAGCAATGTGACCAGAAATTCTTCCGTGGCACAGAGCGAACTGGGGATTAAGAAGCCAACCGCTTGTTCCACAGCGCTCGAGAGAGCTAGGGTTGCCTGGGGAAAATTAGTCAAATAATAATAATAATAATAGTGATAATAATTAGATAATGATAAAAAAACTTATTGTGAACTAAACCTGAACATGAATCTAAAATAATAAACGCATTAATAATGATTTATGAATAATTGAACTTTCTAAAATTTTATGATATATATTCAAAAGAATTTTGATAACGGGGCGCTCAATTTAATTCGGAGAAGAAATTGAATCAACTTACGTTATCTTTTAAAATATATGATCACTTTAAATAAAAATATTAAAAATATTGCAAGATACATTTTGCTTTATTTAAGATAAAAAATGAAGAAATAGCAACAACTGCATGAAGAAAGAAAGAAGATAACACTTTGCATTCATCTTTGATCCTCCTAATAACTTCTTGATCAAGGTTTTTTTTTTTTTTGTCATTTAAGGTATCTTCACAGTTTGCAACCATAAAATCAATCCTTCAAAAAATATGAGTATTATTTAAAGAGTTCTCGTCTTTTAAATTATATTTTTTTATACTCCTCTAAAAATCAAATTTTAAAATGACACTTAAAAATTCAAATCGTTATCACCTATGCCACGTTCACTTGTTGATAACAAGATATCATATTTTGATTACAAACACGAGTTCAAACCTAAGTCTAGGTCTAAGTTCAAAATTGAATAGGGGTGAGCATTTGGTTGGTTCGGTTTTAATTTCTTTAAAACCGATCGATCAAAATATATAAAAAATTTTGGATTGAATCGAATCGAAATGCACAACTGAACCGAATTAAAATCAAACTAAATTTTAATGATTCAATTTAATCGATCTATTCAATTTATGCGCTTTGATTTGGGTCTATAAAATTTAATTGTTCATACATTTTTCTATCCATTTTTTCCCTTAACGTTGAAGGCCCAACAAAAAAATAACAATCTTATACCATAATTCATGAAAAAATTAATAAGACTCAGTATTATTGCACTAGAAACTAAGTTATAGAAATAAAAAATTAGAACATCACATTAAACCAAAAAAAAAAGATTATTGCAAGTAGTAGAAATATATTTCTTTCTCACTTATATGAGAACTTATTTACATTTTTTAAATATGAATAATTCAATCGGTTCAATTTATTTGATTCTTAAATTCTCAAACCAAATTAAAACAATTAACCAAAAATTTTATTAAAAAAATCGAATTGAATCAAAAAATCAAATAAACTAAATTAAATAGATAAAATTTAATTCGATTCAATTTAATTTTTAATTTTAATTCAATTTTGCTTAGATCTGAACGCAAGGACCCATACCTGGTGGCTGGTGCTCTTCTGATATTGGTTAGGAGAGCCAGATTTTATGCATGAGGAAATTAGCATCTAATTGCTATTTCTAATTTTTTTTAAATAAAAATAATGAGGGCAGGACTCCGAAGTCTGCTGATAGGGCTATCCTTTCGCCGCTCTTCCAAGATGAATTCCTACAGGACATAATAAGATCCAGGAAGCCGGTTTTTTTTTTTTGCTTAACTTAAAATGGACAGAATCCAACCATCATCCAGTACGTGACTGAACAGGTGCTCCAATCTTCATACATGAATCAAGCCATCTATTTTATTAGATTCTCCGAGTCATAAATCTACCGGCTGTTTCGTTTTAGAATTTGGCTGTAATTCTCACTCAGAGCATGCACAGTATCAATCCTCAGCATCACTCCTGACAATCCTTGGCAGTGGATCAAATCCTGACTTGGCAGCTCTGATTTGCATTGCGGGGGAAGGGTCAACGACTATCTCCATATCTACCCCTCCTACTTTTCAAGGGACAGTTATTGATCATGTTTGATGCTGGCCAATATCAGATGTCTGACGAAGGGAATATATATGCGTGCGCCTGTGTCGTCAAGCAACGTTACTTTATGTGCAGCCTACAACGAGATCTCTTTCGTCTCCTTTTCCTTCTTCGTTTGCTTGGTTGGTGCCTGTGGGCACTTGTATATACTTCCATGGATTTTCTCTTGGTTGCAATTATTTTTTTTTTTTTGGGGTCAAGTTTAAACAAGCAATTTCGGCTGCTTGTTTGGAGACAAGAGAGGTAGACTCTTGGATAGTTTTTTGAATCCTCGCGCCTTACAATGACATCAATGTCAATGGCAACAAATTTCTATTTCCAGATTGCCAAAAAAAAAAAGAGGAGTAATTTTTTCCAGCGAACTTGTTCTCAATGGCTCTTTCGTGTTTTTTTGAGCTGTTCTTAGCATGCCGGCTACTCTTTTTTTTTGGCTGAACATGCATTTAATTGTTCCTGGGCTTTACATTTATTTTTCATTATTTTAATGAAAGTATCATCCTCCCTTCCCCGGTGAAAGAAAAAAAAGAGCTCCTACATGCAACATAAATCTACATCTCCATACATCTACTTACAAGTATAACGTGATGTAAAATTGCATCATTTGGGTAAAAGAAAACCCGTAAGTCACGTTTTTTTATTAAAATATAATGAAATGAAATAGATTAAAAAATCAAAATAAAAATAAATTCAATCACTTGTTCTCTAATGGTAGATATAATAAAATTCATTAATATATACCACAAATATGAGAATCATCACACCCTCAAAAAATCTCATGAATCATAATTTTCAACTCTATTTAAATTATTCTTCTCTTTATAAATGTGTTTACCTATCTCCTTTAATCATTTTATTTTTTTTATTTTTTCAATCCATTTTATTTTAGTAAACAAACGTGACCTTTGAATTGAAAAAATTAAAATAAAAATAAGATAATTAAAGAAGATAGGTAAACGCATTTATAAAAAAAATAATTTTAATTTTAATATTTTTAATTCATTCTATTTTATTATATTTGAATAAACAGACTTGACTCAGTCTGATATTTGTTGAAATTCTCGGTGCTCCGAATGGATGACAAGAGCATCCCATTTGCATATATAGTCATGTGTTCAAGTTCAGCACAATTGAGCATTTGGCCATATCTGAGTTCATCAATTTATTATTCGTATCTTGTGGGTGTTACTGTTGCAGCCTCAAAAGTCAGCAACGTGGGATTTTATTTTGATGACATGTTGGTTTAAAACAAAATGCAAATATTCTAATCTAAGTCCACATGAAATGAACCACTGCTTCCGTGATTGGCTTCGTCCCCTCCACCTCCACTGCTGACGCTGACTCAGCCATCATCATCATCAATAATTGCCCTCTAAATCTAATCACACGTTTCCCAGTTTTCACCTTTTTTCCCTTCCAAAATTACCCCATTAGAAAAAGAACAAAAAAATAATTAAAAAAGGTTCGAAGATTGCATCTTTTGAGGCTTGGCTAAACTTTTTGTGAAAAGTACTCGTGAAAGTTTTAATTACCAAAAAGTCCTTTAAAATATATAAAATGTTCTTGTATTTCACATCTTATTTAACTATAACTTGACAAAAAAATGATAACTTGAGTATGATTTTAATATTAAGTTGTTATTTTTCTTTAACAAATTATCATTTTTTTTCTTGTCAAATTATAATTGTATAAAATTTGAATTTGTGAGCATTTTATTCATTCAACGATATCCCTTGATAATTAAAATTATTGTGCGGGACGTTCCAGTGATTTTTCCAAACTTTTTCAAGCCTGTCCTTTAATCCTTTTGTCCCTTAATTTTTTTTTTTAAAAAAAACCAGTCATTTTAATCTACGTATGTTGTCGATGCTTCTCAACAAGACATCGAGCAACCTCGAGTTGAATTCTAATCATCCAAACCAGTTGTACTCACGTACCCACATTGTTGGTGATTTTTCCTTTTTATGACTTAATTATTCGGTACATGTTTTTAAAAAAATAAATCATCACATTTCGCACTAAAATGCTTGGATTTCAAAAATTATTTTATCTTTGGAAAAATAATATTAAGATGATTTGTAATGTTGCTGATAACGAGATTTTTAAAATCAAGGCTGTTTGTTTTAATTTATTTCTTAAAAAAATCACCTACTTTTAAAAAATATTTTTTTGAGTTTTTATGGTGTTTATTTAAACTTTTAAAAATAATTTAAATTCAAAAAAACATATTTTTAATTATTTTAAGAAGTTACTTTGAGCAGCTTTTGAAAATATCTAATGCGATAGACAAAAGAGAACGTTTTAAAGAGGCGAGAAACATGAAAATATAATAAAATTTTAAAATAATAGAACAATAAATTATTTTTATAAAAAAATAAGAAAGATATCATAAAATTTAAAAATAACTAACTAATAATTACTTTTTTATTATTTCAACTAAACATAAAATAATAACTGTTTTTTATAAAATCTCTATAAAATAAATTTCTTTTTATATAATCTTTAAATTAATTAAAACTTACTTATTTGTGAATCTTAAATAAATGGGCATAAAAATCACTCTGGAACTTTAAGGATATCAATTTTGACTTGCTAACTCAAAAATTTCCACCTATTACAATTAAATGAAGGGATAATATACTCGTGTGATGGATGGAAGATTGTACACAGAAACCGACGGTGGATGGGTGAAGCCAGAACAGAACTTCAAATCATGTACATTTAAATATGCCCTTCGGTCTTCACTGTGAGAGTCGGTTAACTAATTTTAATTTTCTCAAAGTTTTCCTTTTTTTATCATTTACATTGAACTATTATCAACGCAACTTATAAACCATTTAATAATTTAATTATATGGATATTTTAGAAAAAATAATAAATACTCTACTCAGTAAATAAAAGATATCAAGATTGTACACATAGAAAAGCAAATCACGCGTTCTTATACATTTACGATGGCAGGAGTGACTCACAAGTTATGTTGTCATTTTTTTAAGAAAAATTAATCATTTAATTTTTATAATTTTGACTCATTTATGATTCAGTCCCTAAATTTAATTATTGTAACTCAATATTTATAATTTTAACTCAATTGTGATTCAATTTTTAAAATTTTTCACTTGTAATTTTGTTCTTATAATTTCAATCACTTAAATATTATTTCTATATTTAAAAAAATTATAAAAATTAAAAGAGTTTAATAATTTAAAAAGCAGTAATGAATTTTAACATAATTTTAATCTTTATGATTTTATTACTAATATTATAGATATTATAAATATTACAAGTTTAAAATATTATAAATTTTAAAATTTTAAAACTTTAATCTTTTAATCTTTATATATTATAAACATTAAAGGTTAAAAATATTTTTAATTTTTTAATTTTATTTTTTAAAATATAAAGTATATAAATAGTTAAAATTACAGGAACTAAATTGTAATTATTAAAATTTAAGAATTGAGTTAAAATTATAAAAATTATGTTTATAAGTTAAAATTCAGGAATTAACTTAAAACTAAATTATTACTACAATCATTAAATAATTATTTTTTTATAATTTTGTTAAAATTACAAGACTGACTTTTTTCCTGGTATTTTATATTGAAATTGAAATTACCATTTAATCCTCCTATATTTACCGCTATCGTTTTAGGCACTGTTCATGATTTCTTTTAGTTATATTATAGCTTCAAGATTTTTTTTTTTTTTTGCAATTATCGAAAAGTGAATGAACTTTCATTTTTTCCTCATTACTGATCCTCCCTCTAGTTATCAACTCTCTCTCTCCCTCTCCTTCTCTCTACATTAAAAGTAATGAGTAAATCTCTCTTAACAAAATCAATGCATGCACATATTTAAATATCCAACCAATTATTTAAACAATGAAAATTTCTACTACTTGCGTCAATTTTAATTGAATTTTTTTTAATTATGTTCTGAACCACAATAGACTCATTAGGTGGATAATTTTCTAAAAGATTAAGCTTTTTGGAACCATGAAAGTCTTAGTTTATATTATTTTTTATATTTAAAAGTTTAGATAAGTTAGATTCTATGAACTCATCAAGGCTAAAATATATTTTTAAATTTAAAGAGTGCTTATAAAATATTTACTAATTATCTACTAATAAGGTTTCACACAACAATAGAATTTAATTCCATAATTTTATATGTTATGAGTTAATTTTTTTACTAACTGGACCAAACTTTTTCGATACTAGTTTACATTATTTATTGGCTATGATATAAATAATGTAAACCAAATTTTAAAACTTACAAAATTAATAATAATTATAAATTATAAATAATGTAAATCAGGCTATAACATTTCAATCATGGACCTATGAATTTCATATCGTATAGTAAAAGATATAGTATATTTTCAGTCTTCTAACTTCATATAAAATTTTAATTTAATTTTTTAATTTTATAAAATTTTTTTAATCTATTAACTTTAATATTGTTAACTTTAGATGTTAAAGGTTGGGTTAATCATTGTTATTTTTAAAAAATTAAACTCATATGTCAACATTTGATGATATTTTGTAAATATTTAAAAATTTAATATAAAAATTTTTTATAATAAAATTAACAGTGATAGCATTAAAGAATTAAAAAGAAACATTATAAAATTAAAAAATTAAAATAAATTTTATATAAAAATAAAAGGTCAAATGTATTCTTGGTGTTAAAAACGTAACAAGTAATTTTACATATTAAGGGTCCACAATGCAATTTTCTCATCAAATTCACAGCGTAACGGCCCAAATAGTACTCCTGCAACAATTTTGAGGAAACGCGGCAGGACAGCAGACACCAACTTTGTCGTTTGTCCACGTGGCATCCACTGACGATGTGCATCACGCTCCGCTTGCTTTCTTCTTCCTTCTCTCTCTCTCTCTGGACTTCACTCCTTCAGTCTCTCTCACTTCAAATTCCCAAGTCCCAACCCCTCGGAATCCCCCTTTCTCCACTCTCTCTGTTTTCCCTCCGATTATTTCAAACTCCCGATTTGCTCCTTTCAACCCTGCCCACCCCACAGCAAAAAAAAACCGGTCCACACCATGCTCTGCTCGGCTCCGGCCGCCAAGTCTGGTTTAAACTGGCTCGACCGGCTCCGTTCAATCAAGGGCATCCCTACCGGCGACGGTCTCGACCTCGACTCTTTCCTCTCCAACCACTCTAATTCCAATTCCGACCCCACTTTCTTTCCTCCGAAGCGGAACCGCAATCGGTCTCGGGGCTCCGAGTCATCTACACCCGATGCTGGCCCCCCATCAATGGGCAGCGTCCTTGCAGAGCTCTTCAACATGGGGAGCAGCCTCAGCCAAAGTTCCAAACTTTCCGGGAAGAAGTGCCCCAGGAAGCAGACAAATCCCAAATATTTCGTCGCTTCTTCTGTGAGTAACAGTAGAATAATCGACTTTGCGCGAAAGGACGAGAAAAATGTCCCCTGTACGAATTCTTCTTCCATTAACCTTGAGCTGGAAAGGAATGAAGGGGACATAGCTGGTTGGGATGTAGAGGAGGAGGAGGAGGTAGAAGGCGAAGAAAAAGAGAGTGGTGGGAACGACTTGAAGGGGTTTTCGAAGAGTGAGGTGACATTGATTGATACGAGTTGCCCGGAATGGAAGGTCGACAAGCTTGTGTTTAGAAAGAATAATGTATGGAAAGTCAGAGAGAGGAAAGGAAAGTCCAAGGTTTTTGGAAAGAAAAAGAGGAAGGGGAGTTTTGGGTTTGACAAGGAACTCAGGCTTCTAGATTCTCAATTTCGATCCTCCTTGGAAACAAATACGGAAGAGTTTCGAACGCGATCTACCCAAGTAAGAGCGAATAACATGTTTCTATATTTTGCTTGAATCTTTATCACATGCTGATATGGTGATCTAAACTTGACAATTTCTTCACAGCTAACGCACTTACTCTGTACAACGTAAATTGCCTGTGCTAGTTTGGTTTTCTACTTTAACTGTATTGTTATGACTTATATGAGCAGCCCTTTAAAGCCTGTTTTTTCTTCAGCATTTCTATATTTATTGTGGCTGTTATGTAATGTCTTTGCGTTGCACTATTGCATGTTTGGAAAATAATGATGTCTTTATATTTTATGTTGGTTTCGGCCGATAGCTTGCTTTTGCCGGTTTGGAATTGTGCTGTTGTGAGTTTAAATGGATATTAGTTAGTGTTGATGATGATTTAAGCATAAAACGGATGGATAAACTTAATCAATCAAGTTTGACAGCTATCACTTGATAACTTTAGGACCAATACGTTGAATCACATCACTCGCAAAGTCATCATCCTTTTTAAGCGGGGCCTCGATATCTTGCGTGTATTTTATTTTATTACGCTGGTCTCAAATGTCCTTAACTTCCCTTTCTGAACTATGTACGCTCTTTAGTTTCAAAAGATTGACTATGTACTGTATTACCCTTGAAAATTGTCCGGGCTGCAGTTTCTTTTGAGGGAAATGTTGCTGCTACGGATTCAGATTTGGTCTCTTCCTCTACTAGGCATTATTTATCAGATGTATATTACTTCTTACTTTTCCTTATAAGTAATGCATTCTAAAAAGAGCAGATATATATTAGCTAGCATAAGCTTTGTTACATTGTCTTCTGCTTGGCTATTGAAGTCTGATATACCAAGCTAGTAATCAGAAATATTAGTCTAGTAATATTCATGTAAGATTTCGAAGCTTCTGGTGCTAACATGGGTCATTGCATATAGGGAAACAAATTGGTTGAGTTCTTTACAACTGAAAGAGCTCGCCAAACTTGAAGGTATGCATTCGGAGGAGTGTTTAATGTTGAATAAAATGCTTGTTAGATGCTGCTAGTACCATGAGAGTCCGAGTATTCTTCTTAGCGTAGTCACTGCTATAGCCTTAAACCTCATCCTTCTGCTATTTATTTGGTAAAATAAGAAGTGTCAAGGGAAACATCTGGAACCTTATGAACTACATCCTACCTTGTGGGGTTGCTGAGCTGCTTTTGGCCTCCTAACTCCTTTGTCTTGAGATGGATTGAACCTCTGCCAAACATAATGGCGTATTCCTTCAACAGTTCAACTGCATACACTGATTTATTATTTAAGAACACAATTTGATGGCCAGAAGTAAAAAAAGAGAGGAGTGAAGTGGTGAAAGGAAAGAAAGGAGGAGGGGAAGAAGAAGAGTTATGATGATATATTAGGATAAATTAAATATAACCTTCTTTAGCTATAGTTTAATTTAATTATAATTTTGATATATAAACTTTAAATGGAACATTTTGTCTTATAATCTTCACAATATTTGACAACTTTGCATGTCAAAATGTCTAAAAACGTCTCATGATTGTCAAGTGATGCTCTACAGTCACCATCTTCAAAGTTCTCCCTTGCATAATCTTTATCCTTCATTTCCCCCTCAATTCTTAATTCCTAAAATTCTACTTTTAGCTAATTTGCAATTTTTTGGTGATAATTTAAGGGGGTAAAGTGTTTATATTTTCAAGTCTCGGCACTAAAATTATGATTAGGTTCTAATTCAGAAAGGCTTTGGGTAGTTTCTCCATATTGATATTTTTATAACTTGGATGATAATTGATAGATCTCTCTGTTCTACTCAGTCTTTTGTCCCTTTAACTTTTGTTGTTTATGATTAAATCCCTCACTATAGGTCAAATCAATTTTGAAAAGAAAGCCTGGTTTGACAAGATACTGGCACGGATAGCTTTTCTGTGTTTGGTGGGCTCTCTTGGGCTGACTCTATTAACAATTAGGAGGCCAAGAGATTAATTATATATGCTACTGAAAATCAGTGCCCTCTTAAATCAGCATTCCATTGGATGGACGATTAGTCACTATACATTCATTTCAGCCTCTGTGCTAATTAGGTAAAGAAACATGTATAAATAAGAAACAAGAAAATGAATCTATAAGCTCAGTATATTATTTTTTGCTTTACGTTGCCGATTCATTGGAATGTGTTGCTGTTTTGTTCCATGATGTATCCCAGTTTTATTTTATACATGGACTTTAATGCTAACATTCTAGCACCATTTTCTTAGGTTAACTAGACAAGGATGCTTTGAACTTTGGACAATGTGACTAGTTAAGAGAGAAATGCATCATTTTTCATATAATATCATTCCTATTATAGTTTCTGATATAAGTTTGGACATGCAGCTTGTATTTGCTGCTCATTTTGAAACATGGGTTGTTGATTATTTTATGTGTTTCAAAAATCTGTTGTCCCTCAGTTTGCATTTTTTTCTAATGGCTATATTTGTAGGAAGCCTTTCTGATCTTGGTTGCATTTTGGTTAGCTTACAATTTCATTCTGAAGTTTTCAAGGAACATTTCTTTGTGCTTCTTAATCTTGTTCCTGTTTAGGGCTGATAGCAAGCTAGGTTTATTTTGGTATTGTAGTTTCTGCTGTTAAGAGCTTGCCTTGATCCTAGAATGTACCATAATAAATTATCAAATTCATTTATTTTAAATTTAGAAATTTGACTAGCTTTAATTATAGTGGTCAAATACATATTCAATATTTGTTATATTTTGTAAATAATAGATGTAATGGTATTTTAGTCAAAATGGTGTAATTGTAAGTTTGTCTTTTGCTATATTTATTAACTGCCAAGGAAAGGAGTGTAAATTTTTCAGATAGAAAGGAAAGACTGGTATGTGATTTAGATGGCTCTCAGGGAGGAGGAGCAATTTTTTTTTGGGGGACCAAGGGTGGGGGGAGCAATTTATTTTAAGGAAGATTCATATACAACGTAATTTTCTAAAAAATGAAACTTCAACCGATTAATAACTTTGAATTATGTTTTGGAAGTTTTTTTTTTTTTGGTAGGAAATGGGGCTTAAAGCCCAGAATAGGTTTTGGAAGGATTTGTTGCAAAGCTGCAGTGTGAAGGTCAAAGAGCTATCTTCATTTTGTGGCATAAGGGTTGATGGAGAATTTTGAGGAATCGATACATTACAAGTTATAAATTTATTATATATAATTTATTCAACCATTGATTACATATAATATATTAAAATAGAGATGGTAAGAAAAATGAACCCCACAATTTTTTTTTGGGGCGCCATCTTGTCTCTGAATGTATGAATGCATGACAGTAAAAGAGCTAATTTGTTATTACTAGCCGCCTCAACCAAAAATGTGGCATTTGGGTTGCATTTCTTCATTTTATTTATTTATTAATTCTGCTGACATGTTCAGGGACAGAATACTGAGAAGAATATGAAAGATGTTGGTGTAGACACAGCCCGGGATGATCCGAAGCCTCCTCCCAAAAAGAGGCAAGTTTACTTGCTTGCATCTTGTGTTTGCAGATGCTTCTTCTTATGCTTTTCATAAAGAGTTTCGAGTCCTCCTTCTGGGTCTTCATTATGAGGACTTATTTGAACTTTACATAGGTTAACAACAATAACAATAACAACAAACCTTATCTCACGAGATAGGATAGGGTCGGCTACATTGATTGCACCATATTATTATGCTCTATCAACAACCACATCTTTAGAAATATTGTTAAAACTAATTAATGCTTTTAAATTTTCAAAATTATAGTCAACAAAGTTCATTAATTAGTGGGAGTTGTTTGGTTAGTTAGAAGAATGTTTAGTTGGTTAAGGAATATCCAAGTGAAGATCATTTAAAAGGGAAAAAAAAAATACTTTAAACAAATGGTCTTGTATTAAAGACCATGAAGAAGGTCCTTTGTAAGGATTGGAGGGAGAATTTTTTTCCATGTTTGTATTGACTTGGGAATACACCATCATCATGCATTGCAGGTTCCAATTTTCCAGGCCGCCTGCAACTTCAAGAAAGGAAAACAAGTCTGTCAGTATGATATAAACAACTCCTGCATAAAACAACACAGGAACAAGAGTTTCAAATCTTAATAAAGGCGGCTGACGGCATGAAATAATTCCAAGTCTCCACAGGTCATTTACTTGTAATTCTGAATTCTCATTTGCCTGCTGCTTAATTATGGTATTGTTGGTCCTTCATTGTCATTTTAGTCACAAAACGTTTATTGATGTAAAGCTCTTTTGTTCTTCTTGAATTGCAAACTTGTTTTCAGCAATAGATCTGCAAATTTAAGTTATTTCCCTCTGTCCTTCTGGCCCTTTACCCTTTTCTTTTCTTTTCTTTTTTCCCTTATTTTTCACTTTTGCTGCAAGATTTTTTCTCTCTCTCTCTCCTGTTCTTCCCTTGTTAAGAAATCTGTTTACAAGATAGTTAGCAAAAGTTGCTAATCCGTAACCATATTTATTTTGAAGAAATTCCATTAGGCCTTTTAAAGCTCAGTAGTTGTATTTTACCAGAAAATTCAGGTGAATCTTAATTTTAATTTCTTGAAAAACCAGAATAGGACAATAGGAAGTTTAGAAATCCAAGACTAATGTGTTAAGTAATATATAATTAATTATTAATAGAATTACATTACCAATAAACAAAAATTATGACCCATTTTAAGAACACGTAAATATGTAAATATATTTTTGAGTTCATTTTAGCCATTGCCTTATGGCTTGTGAGTTATACACGTCAAATATCTTTTCCTTTTGTTTAATTGGTATATTTTTCTTTCCTGTCTTCAAAACATTTCAAAAATAAATAAACCAAACCGAAGTAGAATAAATGAGAATGCATCAAACTGCAGCACATGTTTGTTATTGATGAAGATTATCATAAATCATACTCCCCACATTCCCTTATACAAAGTATTTTTTAAAAGTTTATCTCCTAAATAAAAGAGATGATATAATAATTGAATAATTAAATAATTTTATTTTTATTGTAAAAAATAAAAAAGATATTAATTATATGTTTTACTCATCCGATATTGATTATAATATTTATTTGGAAAAAAATTGAAAACGTTCTAAATAACGAACTTTTATAGTTTTTTTAGTATGTGGAGTAAAATTTAATTAATATATGTATGTAAAGTAACCTTGGAGTTAATGCATGTAAAGAAGATCTGAATGGATACCAAGCCAAAGGAAAAACCAAATTCTAGTAGACGAGGAAAAAGAAGGCGTGATCCTCCCCATTCATAAATGACTTGCAAGGTTGTGGTTACGTTGTTGTGTTACTTAAGAAAAATCACAATCAAGGACTTTTAAAGATAATTAACTGCATTGTAAGACTAAATAATTTTGATATTACTTTGTAGAATTAAAGCATCTATCTTTATTGTGAAAAGAAAAAAAATACCCTTCATGTATATATTATATATTCTTTTAACAACAATTTCACATTAAAGAAAGTCTCATTCATATTTTAACAACAATCAATTTTTTATTAACAATTTTAAAAGATTAATTTGGTAGTGGAGAGGAACAAGTATTATGATTTGGTGAATAAGTTTCAATTGAGTAAAAACAAGTTACATTTTTATTCTAACAACGATCAATTTTTTTTATTAACAACTTCAAAAAATTAACTTGCTAGTGGTGAGGAACACGTGTTGTAATTCGGTAAGCAAGTCTTTATTTGACAAAAAACAAGTTCCATTTTTATTGTAACAACAATCAATTCCTTTATTAATAACTATAAAATATTAATTTGATAGAGAAATTATTATAATTTAGCGAATGAGTCTCTATTAAAAAAGTTTCATTCTCATTTTAACAACAATCAATTTTCCCATCACAACAAAAATACATTGGGGGTAATTTTATCTTTTCATAATAAATTTAATTATATTTAGGTCATTTACTCTTATAGGGCAATTAAATTTTTTCATGAGTCCTTGATTGTAATTTTCTCTATTACTTAAGACATGCATCGCATAAAATTTACATTCTTTTTATTTTAATACCCAAAATTTAAAGTCTTAGCTAAGTTTTCTTGTAAGAAGAAGAAATATTTAGGTAGACTAGATGCACCACGTTATTTATAATCTGTTCAATTAAAATATTTCAAGTAATGTCATTTTTTAAATTGATTTTATTTTTATAATAGAATATACATTTGATATTTTATTTTTTTCTCTCTACTATTATTAATATCAAATTAATTTATAATTAATGTCATTTAAATATAATATTTTTATTAAATAAATCACAAATAATATAATAAATTCAACCTATCTAAGCATTTCTTTGTAAGGAGTTGAAAAAGAATATACATTTTATTGTTTGCGCCACAAACATCAAATCTGTATTATTTACTGATTTTTTTAAATTAAAAAAGAATTTATATACAAGTGTAAGTAATGAATCCTAGCTATAAATATCTCTTGACATTATTATGCTCGATAATACTTAAATCTACCTCAATAATATCGGCTATCATGTAATTATATTAGGAAAAATAAATTTAGATACCACACATGCACTCTTTTTACACACACACTCACATATGGGGAAATCGTATAAAGTTTGATGAATAGATTATATTATTTACCGTTGTGGGTGTGGGTGTGCCGCAGTCCGAAGTAGTACTTGTAGGCCAGTGGCAGTCGCTTGCTTGGAGTGCACGTACGCTCTGCAAATCTGGCTGCTCAGCTCACTCAGTTTACATAAAGTTGATGCCTTTCTCTAGTTCTGCTTCTTCCATGGCGTTTCGTGTATGCCCAGTAACGCTTTTACCTACCCTTCAAATCTCCCTTCATCCAGTTTCAGCCTTTTATCGTCGACGCTTTTTCCCCGCTGCGAGGTTCAATGAACCATCGAGAGGCTCGCTTAAATTACTATCAAGCAAGGAGTTTTTCGGACCCACCATTCTCACTTTCTCCCAATGCAGTTGCAGTAACTCTCTCGCCAATCCTATAGCTGAAACGGGTGAGTTACTCTCACAGTCAAATTCTCAAACACCTGTCCTTCGAAATGCGTAAACCGCCTATGTCCATGCATTGTATGTTTCACGGACCCTTTTTTCCCTTTTGCCGGTTTCAGGAATGCTCTTCTCTTTCTTTCATGAGATCGGGTTGGGTTTTGATGGAACCCAAATGCTGTTGGCAAATCACCCTGAGCTTGCAATGGTATCCCTGGATGCATTACATGCTCGGGTTCGTTCTTTACAGTCTCTTGTTGGGTTTGATCATCTTGCTCTGCTGAACTTAGTCGCAAAGCGTCCAAATGTATTAACAGCCATGGAAATTGATGATTTGATATGTTTCGTGCGAGATGAATTGGAAGGGCAGATAAATCAAGCACAGATAAAACGCTTATTATCCGGTACAGAACCAAGATTTTTTGTGGGTTTTGATCAAAAGGTCAAACTGCTTCTCGACAGGGGGGTTCCCTGTGAAAAGATTGTTCATGTGCTCAACAATGTGAATTTGACGAAGGCAGTGTGTCATAGGTCCCTGGATGAAATTAATAGAACGATAGATTTCTTAGACCCTTTTGGTGGCATTAATCTAATTGTAAGGCGTCCTGCAATTTTCAATTATGATTTGGATAATCAACTGATTCCAAGAACCAAATTTCTGACTGAACTTAGTGGAGGAGATGAAGATGGCACGGGGAAGGTGCTGCGTAAGCTCCCGGCAATTTTGAGTTACCGTGTGGAGCATACAGAGGGCCATGTAGAGTTCCTGAGGTCTTTTGTAGGCTTGAATGATCGAGAAATATTTCGGATAATAATGGTTTTTCCTAGTATTGTTAGTGCTAGCAGGGAGAGGAAGCTGCGTCCAAGAATAGAGTTTCTCAAGGATTGTGGGTTGAATTCAAATGAAATCTTCAAGTTCTTGATAAAAGCTCCTTTATTTCTAGGCCATTCATTCCATGAGAACATTGCATATAAACTTGTGTTGCTGGTCAAGATTGGGTACAAATATAGGACAAAGGATTTGGCGACGGCAATCGGATCTACCACTAGGACAAGCTGTGAGAACTTGCAGAAGGTGATTGATCTATTCTTGAGTTATGGGTTTTCATGCGAAGACATAGTTGCTATGAGCAAGAAGCATCCTCAGATACTGCAGTACAATCGTACATCTCTAGAGAAGAAGATGAAGTACCTAGTAGAGGAGATGGATCGTGACATTGAGGAGTTGCTAGCTTTCCCTGCATTCCTTGGTTACAAGCTGGACGACAGAATCAAACAGAGGTTTGAAGAAAAGAGTAAGAGAGGATCAAGAATGTCTCTCAATAAGCTTTTAACTATTTCATCTGAAAGATTCACAACGAAAAAGAAAGAAGGCCTCTGAGAAAATCATGCTATAGGAAGTATTAATGCAAATGAAGATGTTTGAATTAACTTCTTTTCTTTTTTGGTCAGTTTTTGCTGTCCCCAGTTAATTTATTTCATCACACAAAGGGCGCCTAGTGGCATTTTACTATATTTTAAGGAGTCTCAGCGCTAAAGTTCTCTTTGCACAGAATCAACTGCTTTAGATATTTGCTGCTTGTGCTGTGGAAACAGAAACCAACCACGCATCTCCTTGAAGCAGTGAAGATATTGGTTTTTAGACAAATGATGAAACCTTTTCCCCCTCTGAAAAAAGCAATTAAAAGTAGGCTTAACATCAACAGTGATCGTCGTGGGACCATTTATTATCGGAGAGAAGTGGGTTAGGTTTGTTATGTTCCCGAGTCAATGTGTAGGAGCATTACTGGACCTCTACTGGAGCCAAAGTTGAAAAAGAGTCTCTCCGTCCAAAGATACCGATCACATCGCTAAAGCTGTCTGAAAACTGATAGTACACAGCACGACATTGTGGTACAGTAAGCTCTTCTCACTCACTGAAGCAACATGCCCTGCCAATTCACCATGTCGAGCTTGCGGGGATGACAACTGTTTTGAGTTTTGTATCATCTTCTCTTCACACGAGAGGTCATTCAAAATTTTGATTGGTGGCCTCTTAATGCCTGGCGCACTACCTTTAATTTGTTGGCTCAAGGTAGCAATAACTATTTTCTGCATGTTACAACGTGTTAGCCACTATTAAAAGATGCTAAAGATGATGTCCCAGGCCCCTTTTCAATATTTTCAGCATCAGAATTTTCTTTTTCTTTTTCCTTTTTCACATCTTACATAATCCATCCTTTTAATTCAATAGAAAACAGGCCATTCATGCCGTTCATAAAAGAGGTCCTGACCACTTGACCTGAAAGGACTAGAAAAGCTGAGCTAGGTTCCATATTGTTTTAGTTCACAGAACATATATAACTTGTCTTATTATAGTTCCCTAGTTGATTCTATGCTGGCAGCACTCGCGCAAGTAACCAAAATGCCTGTTGTCCACTATAGCCTTACGACTCACTGAATATAGACATCATACACGTGAACAAGTGAAGGAATGGTGAATATCCTATCTTATATCTTCCACAATGAGTGGGAATCAAGTAAAGGGCCGTCTGAGAAGTATGTAAACTTCAGAATGTCTATCTCAACGCTGAGGCGTACACAGTCACATGTTGTGTCGAGAGATTGTGAAGTCACTAAACATCATTCTGGCGTAGGATCGAGTCTGTGCTAATCAAGCAACTTTTGCTAATTGTCAATAAAGCATCGTCAAAAAAGTAATATCTGTTGTCTCCTTTCGGGTAGTGGCAAATTTTGACTATCTGATTAGTATTGGGTGCTGTCGTATTTAAGCTTCCTCGCTGGTGTTCTTGCTACCACGAGGAGAAACATAGCCATACAACAGAATGGGCGTGTTTCTACCGAGGAACAAAAATCCAACGTTCTCGTTTATTTTACTGTTCTTTATTCTGGTTCTACAAGACACTAACATCTTGCCCTCGGCTGCTGCTACCAGAAGCAACGTTAATTTTCACACTCCTCAGCTCATTTTTTTCACTTAGTTTTCCAACTACTTAGTTTTCCTGACACTGACCAAATGAAAGCAAACAGGTTTACATTGTTCACATGGGAAAGAAGCAGCACGATGATCCAGAGCGCCTCACTGAACTCCATCATGAAACCCTTACATCAGTCATTGGAAGGTACAAATGTCGCTGGCATATAATGGCTCCATGTCCACATCATTGATTTGAGTTTACTAATTACAGCTGGACCAATAATACTTTCACTTTTTCGACTAATCAAACAGAGAAGAATCCATAGACTCTATGGTGTATAACTACAAACATGGGTTCTCAGGTTTTGCAGCAAGGCTTACAAAAACTCAAGCTAAAATGATTGCAGGTAGTTTATCCCGTTTGGGCCTTCTTAAATATCAGTTCTGTGCCATGCATATGTTCACAGTTCGTGCGACTGCTAGGTCCTTGTTATCTGATACGTATGTAAGGTCCATGCATCATATTAGCGCTCGACAAACAAGCATTTTCTAAATTCCAAGTATCAAAATTACAGGTGAAAAACCAAAACCATATCGATTCATACAAGTAACCAGGCTATATTGGATTCATCATCAGTCAGATAGAATTGGAAACAATCAAATTAATTCAATCAAATCTTAAATGAGCATCAGATAGAAACTATGATTTCAAGAAATGTGTGTGTGTGTGTGTGACAGGAAGCAATGGCTTCAAGAAAGAAGGTGAAAACTAAATTATTCTTTTTCTCCTTTTGATACTTCAAGAATAGGTTTAAAGTATTCTAATTATGTTCGATTCGGTTTGGCAATGCTACTCAAGTTCAATTGTTTTGACTGCAGAGTTACCTAATGTTGTTCAAGTGATGCCCAATAATCTTTATAGGATGCAAACTACCAGAAGCTGGGACTACCTTCAACTACCTTTACATTCTTTCAATAGTCTTCAGCATCAATCCAAGATGGGAGATAGTGCCATCATCGGCCTTCTTGATTCAGGTTGTGATCTAGACAACTTCTTCGTATGTGAACATGCAGCTTCCTGCTACCCGTTGTGACAAAATTGTGAACAATGTTTGGGCAGGAATATGGCCAGAATCTAAAGCTTTCTCCAATGAAGGTATGGGGCCAATTCCCTCTAGGTGGAGGGGCGTCTGTGAATCAGGAAAACTCTTCGACGCAGCAAGGAGCTGTAACAGAAAATTGATTGGAGCTCGTTATTTTATCAAAGGTCTTCAAGCTGAATATGGACAGCCATTAAATTCTACTGTGTTCCAAGATTACTTGTCCCCAAGAGATGCATCTGGACATGGAACACACACCTCCACAATAGCTGCTGGCTTTTTCATCAGTAATGCGAGCTACAAAGGACTAGGTGCCGGAACAGTACGAGGTGGTGCTCCACTGGCTCGGCTGGCTATGTACAAAGTCTGCTGGAATCTGTATGATGGAGGAGTGTGTGCAGCTGCTGACATATTGAAAGCCTTGGATGAAGCAATACATGATGGTGTTGATGTATTATCGCTGTCCATAGCGTCTGATCTTCCTCTGTATTCTGATGTGGATGTGCGTAATGGGATCACCTTGGGGGCTTTTCATGCCGTGGCACATGGAATTACTGTTATTTGTTCTGCAGGAAACGACGGTCCAAATGGTCAAACGGTGCAGAGTCCAGCACCGTGGATAATAACTGTGGCAGCAAGTACCATAGACCGCTCTTTCCCTACGCCCATAACACTCGGAAACAACTGGACGACATTGGTAATTTCTTCACAACCTGATGCAACGAGAAAAATATGGCCTACACTTGTTGCCATGTCACAGAACAGTTATCTTGAAAAGTAGTTTGTCATCAATTACAGGGTCAAAGCATGTTTACGGGGAAGGATACAGAGTTTGTCAATCTGGTATACCCTGAGGTATCAGAAGAGCTCCAAAGTCCTCGGTAATATATGCTACAGCTAGATCACATAACTTTATGTTACCATGTATGAAATCTACGCTAAAAGCATGCTCTTACATTCATGCAATTCATCAGCATCACACGTTACTTAAATTAGCATACGCTCTTTCATTCGTTGATTATCCAGGCTCAAGTAATAAGGATAAGATATGGGTAAACGTCAATAGTTCAAACCCTTCCGGTATATTTAAAGGATTAAAAAAAATAGTATCCTGCTGGACTTATCTTCACATTTTCAGGCTCCCACAAAATATAAATAATGAAACTTAACCATGTTTGGCCATCAACACAAGATTCTGTCTTTTTGTTGCTTGAACAAGAGAATTTGATTTGATTTGACACTATGTTAGTATGATACATGCGCGCGCGCGCACATTTGCTTGAATACATTCATTTATACGTAAGTGTATGCATATCCTTTCCTATCATCTAGAATTAACGAGAGTTGTGTGTACAGTTACTGCGATTCGCTCTCACCAGATGACGTTTGGGTAAGAGGAAATGTGGTTTTCTGCTTTGTCTTCAATTATCAATATTATGCAGTGCAGGACGCTGCTCAGATTGTCAGAAAAGCTGGTGCTTTAGGGATTATTGTGGCCAGGAATCCCAGTACAGCACCGGTTGATCCGTGTGAAAATAATTTTCCATGCGTCCAAATAAGCCACGAAAATGGAATGCAGATACTCTACTACATCCGTTCTACAAGGTAAAACCAGAAACTTTGCCATATCAACTATTGGTTGTCATTCCCATCAAAGTTCTTTAGAAAATGATTTGGATGGGACCTAGCAGGCGTCCTAGAGTAAAGATTGGTCCTTCCAAAACACACACTGGCAGACCCGTGCCAACCCGCATTGCAGAATTCTCGTCGAGAGGGCCTAGTTCTGTTGCTCCTGCAATACTTAAGGTATTCCTTTCTCGTTTGCTAAGGGTACAAATGGTAGCGTGGTCTTCATGTGTTAGAAGTAAAGTAATGCATGATACGTGATATGACTCATCAGAGACCAATGTGACATTTATATGACAGCCAGACATAGCAGCTCCTGGCGTCAATATATTAGCAGCAGTTGCTCCCGACGATGGTTCCTCACAAGATACTGTCTTTGCTTTTAATTCCGGAACTTCGGTGGCAGCTCCTCACGTCTCAGGCATAGTTGCACTGCTCAAATCACTACATCCAAATTGGTCACCTGCTGCCCTCAAATCAGCCATAATAACAACAGGTACTTTTCAGATATTCGAAAGATTGAAATTGAAACTGAGAGCTACTTCGATTTTCATCATGACCCAAAAAAATATATCATCGAAAAGCCATAAATTTGGAAAACACAACAAAATGCTGCAGCATGGACAACTGATCCCTCTGGGGAGCCTATATTTGTGGAAGGAGAACCAATGAAGCTTGCAGATCCATTTGATTTTGGAGGCGGGATTGTGAATCCAAACAGGGCAGCAGATCCTGGTCTCATCTACGACATGGCCTCTGCAGATTATGTTCAATACCTCTGTAGCATGGGCTACAGTGAACCCAGCATTTCCCTCCTGACGGAACACCCCATCTCCTGCCCCACCAAACAGCCTTCCATGCTTGACATAAACCTGCCTTCCATAACTATACCATCCCTTAGGAAGTCAACAATCATAGTAAGAACGGTCACAAATGTAGGACCTGTCCACTCAAAGTACAAGGCTATCGTAGAGCCTCCCATTGGCATAACCATAGCTGTGCAACCGGATACTTTATGCTTCAACTCTACAGTAAAGGCCATAGCCTTCAGCGTTGTTGTTTCCTCAAATCACCATGTGAGCACAGAATACCTCTTTGGTAGCTTGATATGGCATGACGGTAAGCATGCGGTCAGAAGTCCTGTATCTGTCAGAACTCAGATCACAGAATCCTATAGCTGATCATTTGAAATAAAAGTTGAGTATCAGGTGGTTTGTGTACTTTATGATTAAGATTTATTAACTATACATTAAGAAACAAATTTAGCCATTTTATTCCATCTCATGCTTTTTACCCGGACCACTGTGAAAATGCATAATCGTGGGGTCTGTGTCCCTTTTCCCTGGGCATGGCCTTGGAGGCCCACATTTACCTAAACCAAACTCTGGTCGAACATTCAATTAAATTCTCAAGTCGTTGAAAGGACTGAATTGAAATTGTGATTATCTATGTATTATAACAAACGCAAAGTATGAAGTACTGTATGCCAGGTCAAAATAGCCAGTTGTCCAAAGTTACATCATATTTGAACACTTATTTACGCTTCACTGCCAATGCCTCCATTCTAGCTCCAAAGCAATGGCTATTAGTATCCGCAGATCATTTACAAGCTCTAAAGTCCTTACGAAGAGAGTTTTCCATGTGTGCCACCCAATCCAGCAGGGAGTGTTCTCTAGTCAGCTATAACGCCAGAGTCTCCAATTCCTCAGCTTCAGCATCCCCTTTGGGTATGATGAGTCCATAACCTCCTTCTTTTCTTTTGTATACAATATTAATCTCCCCTGAAGAAACGGAAATTTATTTTTATCCCGAAAAGGTAGAGAATCGATTCTTATACAAGAGGGAATTAAATAGAAAAAGGTTCTGGAAAGCAATGTACGAGGGAAATGCAAAGCCTAAAGAAAGACAATTGAACGATAATAGAGTACCAGTGTCTTCATTTCTGAAACCGTAGAAATCATGATCAACGTTTTCCAGCTGTTCTATTGCTTCAGATACAGTCAATGGTGGCATGTCAAAGTATTTTGTGCGGACCACCTTTATGACAAGTCCGCAGAGCAAACGAGTGTCAGGGAAGGCAAAGAAAAATCATCATTTCATGATTAGCTGATCTAGCAGACAACAGAGTAATTTTTCAGTGTGCAAGCTACACTTCTTGGTTTTTCTCAATTAAAAGACCCAAACACAGAATAAAGCATATTCATCCTAATGTTTCCATTCTAGCGTACAGAAAGAATTCACTACCAGAAACACAGATAATATCTCAAACCGCTTTTGCATATGAACAGGTTTAACAAATCAAAATGCATGAATCTAATTCAATGTGCATCATCAGTTTAAGAAAAACCTTAAGACAATTTGAAGCAGACATATATAAACAATAAAGCAAACATATGAAGGAGGTTGAAGAAAATCTGTACAGTACACAAGAAGCACCACCTCATTAGATAATACTACTACTTCCGCCTCTTCTGGGGGTATCTCTCTCTCAACCTGAGGTACTGGCGTTTCAGGCTCCCTAACTTTCAGCCTATTGAATCCCTTCATGTGGCGACCATGGTCTGATTCCTTTTCCTTTATCTTCCTCAACTTCCTCTGGATGATTGATGACACTAAATCGATGCTACCATAAAGAGTCTCTGCATCTTCCTCTGCCCTGACCACCCCGTGCCTTTTGGTAAACAATGTTACCTAACCGATGATAAGCCCCGAAAAAATCAATCACTGGGCTCATATATATAGAAGTTCCTAATAACCCAAAAGCCCCAATCGGAATGTGCATGCCGTACCTCACATCTCCTGGTCCTGGGTCCTCTCCCAAACTCTCCTCCTCTGACTGATAGTCTCACGTCGACCTCCCTAACTAAGTGGCTATGCTTTTGAACTGCTTTTCCCACCTTTTCTTCCACATGCTGCTTCACCGGATCAGTCAACTGAATGAACACAAGTACAGACAACTTAGTGACTCATACCTCCTTTTCAAGAAACTCATACACAAGAAGAAAAAGGAAGAAATGAGAGAGAATGTGACTAAAGAAGCTAACATTCAAGGAGTGGAAGAAAGGGCTGGCGTATGTACCTCTAGATTTTTGCCCTGAATAATCAATTTGACGGAAGAGAGGGGTCCCTCCCATGTCATGCGAGCAGTGAGGGCGCCGCCACAGTTACTTGGGCGTGTAATCGTACTAGAAGTATAATTGAGTATTTCAAAAGGGGTTAAGAAAGTTGATAGCCTCGTGGACGGCTTCAATTGAGTTGAACTCAATACACAAACAGTAGAAGGAGAAGAACGAGAGGAAGTCGAGGGTATCGAGGACGATGACGACGCGTGCAAGGTGGTCCGCAAAGAAGGCACCGGAATTGCCATTAGAAGAAGTTAGATGGAGGGAATCAACGGGACGGTTGGAGAAAAAGGGAAACGCAGGGAAGAAAAATGGAGAATGAAGAATGAATATGCAAGTGTATCGTATTCGCATCAATTCGTTTGGACGAACGTGCAATGCTGGACGCATGGGGATCTTATCCAAATGGGTATCCCTTTCTTCCTTGCTTTTCTTTTTTTTACCACTATTTTTTCACTATAAATTCAAATCATTTAAATTAAGTTATATTTTTAAAAAGTATCAAATTTAAATCATCAAATTCAATCAAATCATCTAAATTTAGATTGACTCGTTTTCTATTCGGAGAAAAACCAACTCCTATCCCAATATCTTGAAGGACCCATTATCTTCGACCATGCCATGAGGAGGATGTTAATTGGGCCTTTTTAATGTGTTTTTGGGAGAATGGCGTCAAGGTTTCCAAATCAAAGAAATTTGCAAATAACATCCAATATATTTTGAATTGATTTTGTAGGCCTTTAAGCCTAATATGCAAATATATTTTTCATTAAAAAACTCATTTGCCTCTTGTTTAAAATGCATAAGTTTTCTAGGTCTATGTATGATAGAATGTTAATATATTAATGTGCAAGTTAATAATAATATACAAATTTTTAATATGCATAAACAATATAATATTAGTCCATTATATGTAGTATATGTGATATAGTTGAACAATAATAAACAAATTTTTCAATTATATGAACAGCATAATGTCCATATATAACATGAAAAGATACATACATTAATAACACAATATCCTATGGATAATGATTTTTTTTTAAAACAGTAAGTAAAATATATTTGCATATAAAGCCTTTAGGCCTACAAAATAAATTAAGAATGTATTAATCCTTAGGTGTTAATTTCTTTGATCTAGGGGTCTTGAGTGCCATTCTCTCTTCTTCTTTTTCTTCTTTTTTTTGTTTGAACTAGATGGGCAGACATTTATGACCTAAAATTATAAGTGAGATTAAACTTATAATCACTCATTTACAAAAAAGTTTACATGCCACTAGGCTATCGATTTTTTTAGTTTTATCTAGCCTTATCCAATCAAACATAGATGAATAGTTGGCTTTTAACATTTTTTTTAAAATTATAGTTTTTAACTGTTTATATAAACTTCAATGATTTAAATTTATTTATTTATTATAATTTCACATATTAATAATAATTTTGTGAAATATTAAATACTAGCCATTCAAAATTTGACCAATAGTTGAAATACGAAGTCAATAAGAAGTGGAGGGAAAAAATGGAGAAAAGCATAATATGAAAATCCATGTCAATTCAACCAGTTGGACCAATAAATTATTAAATTAGTGTTTTACTGATTCAATGAAATTAGTTACTCACAACCACTCTAACCACAATTCAACTATAATTTTAATTATTAATTATTAAATTAATGTTTCGGTTATATTAATGACGTATCTAGTTTTTAATACGTCAATGAGAAGTTAAGTACAATACTTGTTACCTTTTAATTAAACTAGTGCTGTCTTCTTTTTCTAGTAAATCAAAATTCTATTAATTACAAAAAATAAAGCATAAACAGCAATAACCAAAGTAAAAAAAAAAGCTCAAAATAATCACATGTTCCTCTTGGGCTCTTGGGCTATTGCATGTACGATGGATAATAAGCCCATTTCGGGATTAAATAACTGACTTGCTTTTCTTGCTTTTCTTCAATATTGGGGAAGGAATCTTGAATACTTTATAAGTGATAAATCACTCATCATTAATACATGTAATATATTTATAAATAAATTATAGTATTTTGATCAGAATTTATATTAATTATCAAACACAATATTACATATGGCAAGACATAATATATAGAAAGCATGGAAGAAGAGTTTTCTAAGGTTTAATTAATGCTTCTTATATCAAAACAATATAGGTTAATGCTTCTTTATTTTTTAGCAAGAACTTTCATTTATATAGTTAATCAATTTCTTTATAACCATCTCAATACCAACTGAATGGCTGAACTTTCATATATGTGGAGAAAACATTATTAAATAAAAAAATAACTTCCACCTATCGAATATACTATACAAAAGTAAAAGTTTAGATGTAAGAATATCACTATCATTTTGAAATAACATATTCAAAAAAATGAGCTGGCCTACATCTTATATTTGTTGTTTTATACATAAGGCACGTACTAGCAAGTAATCTTTTCTCTGATTTGTCTTCCAATGCTTTCATGTATTTAGATTTCTTACATTGGGATATAGTCTAAACAGTCAAGCCATTTCTAGAGGTGTTAAACAATCATAGAGAAAGATCAGTATTTCTTTTTAAAAGTTAGTATCATCTTATGCTGTTTCCATGAAACTTTGTGTCAAGTCAATTTCATAATGTTGTTTTTTGATGGTATATAGCTATTTCAGAAAATTAAACTCTGTGGATCTGACAAGATGACAGGAACTAATTTTATATAAGGCCTTCCTCTGATTTGACACCTAATGCTTTCATGTATTTGGATTTCTTGCAGTGGGATATAATTTGAACATTTAAGCCATATACTAAAGCCATATATATCAAGTCAATTTCATTTTGCAATATTTTTGATTGTATATAGCTGTTTCAGAAAACTCATCAGGATCTGACAACATAACAGAAACTATTTTTAAATAATTCCTTTCTTTAATGATATATGTAGAGTTTTCCTTTCAATTTTTCATGTTTTAGTGAACTAGGAAGGCAATCAAGTACGTTTAGATCAATTCACAAGTCAATAGTATCTATTTTTATCTTATGATAGGCCCTGCCAATGATGGTTTTATCATGTAGATCTTTTGGCAGGCTTTTTATGAAGTCACTTTTGATTCACATGTGCCTTTTAAGCTCGCACAGCTTCTAAAACTACTTTTTGACGCAAGCTTTGAAAATCAATCTCCTTCTGATATATGCAGGCTAAAAATAGTGAATTTTTTTTTGCATAAGCCCACTGGCAATATAAGTTTTCAGTGCTCAATATCTTCCTTGATAACTAAGTCCATTCATCTATCAACATCTATTTCCATATTAAGATGATTTCTTAAATCTTATTGTAAAAAGTTTAATGGCAATATTTCTTGCATTGTTTTATATTTTATATCTACCTTATTATAATAGTGCTGCAATATTGCCAGTGTTCACCAATTTTTACTGTAAGAGAGGATGATAGAGAATATGCAAAGTAGACCACTATCTCAGTATTGTACATTTAGTTAAAAATGTCATTAAAGGTGTCACCTTGAATGGTTCAAAGAAGAATGAGAAGGTCTTAATCCATAGAATGGACATGAATCCTTTAGAAAATAGATGGCCTTTTCGCATGAAACGAAGACAATTCCCGATCAATCTATCTTTTGCAATGACTATCAACAAAAGTCAAGGGCAATCACTGCAACATGTTGGACTATATTTATTGAAACCAGTATTTACACATGGCCAACTATATGTTGCTTTATCAAGAGTCAAGACAATAGATGGATTGAAGATTTTGCTGCATGACAGTGAAGAGGAAGAAAGCATATCAACAAACAATGTTGTTTACAAAGAGGTGTTCAGAAATTTTCCCCATGATTAAGAATTTCTCATTGTACTTCTAAACACCTTGAGCAAGATGTTGTCTCTCTAATTAGTTCGACTCATTTGTAACATTTTGTGTTTGATGTGTGAATTTATTCTGTTTGTTATAAAAATCGACAAAGACAGTTTTATTTGAATTACTTATGTGAAGTATCGGTTATTATATCATTGATGTGAAAAAGGATTTACAATTAATTATACTAAGCATGTAAAGTAAATTTCTAGAAAAAATATTAAATCTCATACATATTTTTTTTAAGAGTCTTATATTTACAAGCATTTTTTCTATGGGTCTCACATAAATTTTTTTAATTTTTATTATAGGTTCTATATAAACTCTTATTATATAAAACAAAGAGGAATGTATAAAATTAACATATGAACAGTGTTCTAACTGTATTTGCTAATAAAAAACACAGAGCCACAAATCAAAATCATCTTGAGTCATGTTTCATCTGTTAGAATTTATTATCAACTTGGATGCTTAATTTTGTCACGCCTTCTTTATATCACTCATTATGCTTCTTAATATGATTTTCTTACAGTTTACTAACTTACCCACCTCCTCCATATTTATATCATACCAAGTTGGATGAAACCAAAGTATTTAATTAAACATAAGATTTTCCATGTATTCAACAAAACCAAAAAAAACCAAACTGAAGTACTCAATGCACCTTCCTGTAGTGATTTTCTCTCTATGCCCCTTTCTATTCTTCTCTCCTTCAATCTCCCTTCTCTCCCTTCCCCTCTTTTTGTCTCTCCTGTCTGAATTATAAATATCTTTCACTTTGACTGAATTTTTAAAAGCATAACAGAGTGATAAAGTAAAACAAAATAGCTTTTAAGCACACTGGGGCTCAATTGAGTTACTAGATTGTGCTTTATGGTTTTCCTTATGTTTAAATTATCTTATTTTGAGATTGAAGACACTGCCATGCAAGCACTTGGACTGAAGGCCCTTGCACATGCACGAAAATGTATGACCCATAGAGGTTGCAGACTTAAAGACCCATGACCATAATAAAGATTGGAATACACAACGAAGATAAATACAATGCAAATGAACGAGTAAGTATTTAGGAGAGGAGTAAGTCTATTTTCTCAATATGACATGCCTTCTTATTGTTAGATTCTTTGAAAAGTTCAAGAGGAGCAAGTCTCTTTCATTCACTAATTGAGAAAATTATAAATATTAAAAAATGCATAGATAACTGACCTTGCATTTTCCATTTTAACCCATACTAACTAAAGCCATCAGGGCTTTACTTCTCAGCAGTGATCCAATGTTTTTTAAGCTATTAGCAACTAGCTTTACTATCAGTTATATAATTCCAGCATTGTTAATCACATATCAATTATTTAATCGTGGACAAAGAAAGCAGAGATAAGAAAAATTAAAAGAAAAGGAATTGTAGATATTACCTCTCTTTGTGAACACTACGATGAAGCAAGATATGCGAAGGATCTCCTTCATCTGAACCTATCACCGACATGCAATAGCTTGCTC